CGGCTGAAGAAGGGCAAGGCATCGGCGAAGAAGAATAAGGCGTCGGCGAGTCGCGCGCGCTGCATTTTTTACGCGCTGCTAGAGCGACGCGCGCGCTGCATTTTAGCGTGGCTGTTGGAGCCAGCGCGGGCGGCCGCACAAAACCAGGCGAACGGCACCCGGCAAACTAGTTTTCAGCGCGCGGCGCATAGCGCGGCTGTTGGAGATGCTCTAAAGGGACCAACACACACATTCGTTGACTGGGCTGTTGAAGATGCTCTAAAGGGACCAACACACACATTATTTGGCTGAACTCCTTGTCAACTTGGCTCAAGGAGAAGCTGGAATCTTAGTGACTTCGAGATAAACCTGTTCATGGACAACCCGCCCGAAGCCCGGCCCAAAAGCCTGAATAAAGCCTGAAATGTACATATAAATATATTTTATTTGAAATATAGGTATAATAAATTAATATAATATTCAAAAAACAATTAATTTAATTAAAAATGCCACTGTTCATGTTCTGCGGGCCGGGCCAGGCTCGGGCTTGGGATTTTTTCTTTAGGCTTTGTCAAGCCTGGCCCGAACCCGACCCGGGCCGACAAATGATCAGGTTTACTTCAAGGTTAGGTGCATCTCTACCAGACCTCTTTATATTCACGTGGATTGTAAAAATCTGGCGACTATACGGGTTTGGCCTGTTTTTTGGACTAGACCAAAGCCCGTATAGTCGCCCTGCCCGCAAAAGATTTTACGGTGGCCCACAAACCGCCCCTCTCCCCTTCATGGGGTATATCTACGGGTATGCCACGAGTATACGGGCCGAAACCGTGTCCCTCCGCCGCGGCGATTCCCCAATACCCACTCTGATTTTTCTCGCCGTCGGTGAGCTTAAATCCCCCCCACCGATCTGCACCGATGTGGAGCTCTGGCCGGCGCGGTGGCGGCGGCGGTCGCCGCGGCGAGCACGCGGCCAAGCGCTATACCAACTATGGGTTCCCGGTGTCGGCCGGCATCCCTACTCCGCCACGAGACGAAGGAGTACGACCGCCGCCATGCGGGGCGCTTCGACGCGAGGAGCTCTTCCGCCGCGCCACTGCTTCTGGTGAAGAGGGAGCCCGGCGAGCTTCGTCTGCTCCGCGCCGTCAAGATCGAGTTGGAGGAGCAGCGGTCGCGGCGTCATATCGGCCCAGAGGACTACCACGCCGGACCCGACGCGAATGCCTTTGAAGCGGCATCGTCTAGCACACTGCGCGAGTAGGAGAAGGACATGCGTCGCCGGCGGGACGAGGATCTCAGTGACCTCCTCTTCGAGCAGGCGCTCGCGCCACGCGTGAGTTCGACGCCAAGAAGACAGCATGGCGCCGCGAGCAGGAGGAGCAAGATAAGAAGTACATCGATCTTGTCTCCTCCGGCCACGACAAGTGAGAGCCGCCGCACCCGGAGAGCTCATCCGATTTTGGCTAGTTTAGGGTAGGGCGGCATCGCGATGTAGAATAACTTTCAAAATGCAGCGATGATCAAACTATGAATGTATTATTTGTTTTTCATTTTGTCTGGGAATGCTTTCTTTCAAAATTTACAGTTTTTAATACGGCTTTGTTCGGCCGTAGCTGATTTTATCCCGCAAATATCTGATTTCCCAGCCCTTATTCGTGATATAAGGGCCGCTGATATATGAGATCTGTTAGAAATGCTTAAAGTGTCTATGCCTCTCTAAGAAGATGTAGAGACACGTGAACAACTTGACCTTGTGGATAGATTGCAGTGTCTTCTATCGCTGATTTTTGTTTTGGCGAAAAAAGGGATCTACAAGGACCCAAAAGCTGCATTATAATCATAACAGATTGCAACAGAACCCATAACTATAAGAAAATAACAAAGTAGTCCCTAACTATTACAAAAAGCACAAACGAACAAAGATGGAAAATGTAATCGTGTCTAAAGCTTCTTCTCTGCCGGAATATCCTCACCGCCGCCGGGGGCAGCACCACTTGGGATGAGAAGACCCTCAAGTCACCATGTCAAAGACTCCGAGAAGAAGAAACGTTGCCTCCCATTAGGCTCCATGGCAAGGAGGAAAACAAATAGCCGCCCTTCGACCTGCAGAAACGATGGCATGATGAAACAAGCCGATAGCCAAACGCCACAGCTGGCGCCAAAGCCGCCCAGAACAGTCACCAGGGTTGTGCTCTATCCCGATTAGGACCTCCATCTCTATCCACTACGAGCTCACCACCACGGTGACTTATAAGGTATAAGGGCATCTCCAATATGGACCATCAAACCACCCGCATACGTCTATATCGCACGGTTCAAACGTGTTGTGACATCCAATGCGGGCCTGTATCGGTCCGCTGGGTGGTCCGAACGCATTTTTTCT